TCCAGACCAGACGACCCTGTGAAATCCTCCACGGGGTTTCGGTTCTAGACCTTCGAGGCGACGATGATGAAGCTCAGAGTAAAACATCTGCTCCTCCTTAACGAGGGGAGGCAGATGAGGAGGGTCGGGAGTCTGATAAGACCCCTCTGATGAGGGGTTGGAGGCAAATCCCACTTGGGAAAACCCTCAGGGAAAACACGGAACACGATGAGTGAACTGTGTTTCCCTGCTGGCCTGGAAACGCCTGGGATTCTCCTGGAAAAAGTCACCAGGGACAGGGGAGTCTCACGGAACACGATGAATGAACTGTGTTTCCCTGCTGGCCTGGAAACACCTGGGATTCTCCTGGAAAACGTCACCAGGGACAGGGGAGTCTGCTGCCCCCCACAGGAAAAGGGAAGGATGAAACTATTATTAGTATTGATGTCCTGCTCAAAGTCCGCAACCCACATGTTTGGCAAATTTAAAAAAATCCTTTATGATGAGTATAAACTTCTGGTTCTCTATATTTACTTTAAATATCAGTAAAAAAAAACAAAACAGTTCCAGTTCCTGCACTTGTTTTTCTTCCTCCACAGACTATCATGTCATATCATTTTTTTAAATAATTGACTTCCAGTTTTGAAGATGAACGTAAGCGATCTTCTTCAGATGCCGCTGCATCAATCTGTTATTTGTTTTGTTTGGTTTTATTTGAACTGCTTCATTTACTCGCGTCCGTGGTTGTAATCCCATTAGCGCTCAGTTCTACTGCGGCTCAGTGGCCTAATCCGTCATTGTTCCTCCGTGTTCTCCGTCACTGAGCCGCCGTTCTCCCGTCACTCGGTGGAAACCTCTCAAATTGTGTTCGCGGTGAAATCATGCTCTTCATTCTCTCAGGCACTTTTCCATATCTAACCTCATCTTTCCTCATTTCTCCCCCCCCCCCGTCCGTTCACATCCTCCCTTCACTCCATCTGGCTGCCTCCCCTCCTCACTCACTCACTCACTCACTCACTCTCCTCCTCCCTCTCTCTCCCCCATGCACTCAGTGCTGCGGCCTGGCTCCGTCCAAAGGGATTAATTGATAGTGAAAGATAATAAATCTTCCCATTAGGTGCGAGGCTTCAGCCCATCGCTCATAATGAACCCTCCGCTCCTCAACGCCGCGGCCTGGGGCTTCCCTACATCTCAGAACAAGCACACCTGCCGTCTGCGTTAAACTTTTTTTTCTTTTTTCTTTTCCTGAACTGAGGATTGACGTCTGTCTCTGGTTCAACGCTGGTGTTTATCAACATCGTCCTGTCCTCAGATCAGAGTTCGAATCTCTGTAGTTTCACTGACTAAAGTTGACTGAAACCTGATCAACTCTGATTGGTCCTTTCAGTGTCAGCTGCTCATCACAGTCTGATCACAGGTTCTTCTTCCTGGAGTGAAGCGTATTAAACCCTGTTGAAGCTCAGCTTCAGCGGAGGCAGCAACGCAAAGATCTGATTGGATAAACTGAGCAAAAACCGATTCAATGGGAGTCAATGGGGCAGAAGGGCATTTGTATTTGTATTTGTTAGCTCGTTAGTAGCTAATATGGACGACTTTATCATAGTATAAACTCTTTCTAGATTTTTCTTTGTTTCTGGTTTCTGGTAAAACGTCCACGATGTCCTGTTCCATTTTCATTCATGAATTGTCAATAGAATTTCTAGATTGTTCTTTGTTTCTGGTTAGTAAAACGTCCACGTTGTCCTGTTCCATTTTCATTCATGAATTTTATGTTCACATTCCAGAAAGATGCCAAAAAGACGAAATAATTCCGTGCATCAAAAACATAGATATAAAGAAATATATTGATAATATAAAATAATAACAATTAAGAAAACATTTGATATTATTGTTATAAAAATAGGTAAAATAACCCAGTGAGGAACGGTGAGGGAGACAGCGCCACACAGTGGAAAAAAGGAGCTGGGTTGAGCACTCTTATCTTCAAACCCCACAGTATTTGATTTGTCTCAGAACTTGTTGACTCACCCTCCTGTTGTTGTTGTTGTTGTTGTTGTTGTTGTTGTTGTCGACCTGGATCGGTTCCAGTTGACTCTTATCTGGACCGGAGCTTAAGAGAACGGACACAGTGAAGTTACAACCAGGCCAAAGGTCAGGACATGAACGTGCTAACAGCTAGCGCTTACCTGCTAACACTGAAACACTGGTCTGGAGAGCTGGAGTCTGGGACCAGGTGAGAACCATGGTACTGGTTCCTAGGAGTGTTCTGACTCCAACTGGTTCAGTGGAGTTCACCTGAGCAGAACCTGCTGACGTTCCTCCTGTAACACACATACAAACACACAAACACACACCTGCTGCCGCACAAACGAACCCCAACCAACACCTGAGGGTGGGGTCAGGGGTAGAGAGGGGGCGGGGCTGTTTTTGACTTTTTTTTTTTCATCCGTAGAATGAGTTTTTTAATGTGACTGTGTTTAAATTATCATTTTCAAAATTAATTTTTGGTTGAAAATATATTTTTTTAATTTTTTAAAAAATCAATTACTTTGACATTATATAATTTTTAAAAAATCAATTACTTTGACATTTCAGGCGACCCCATTTTATTTCAAGGCGACCACAAATGGGGGTGGCGACCCCAAGGTTGAAACCCTGAATGACTTAAGTCAGTATAGACAGTTGGTATTTTTTTTTTATTTAAAACTTCATATAACCCATACATCAAACTGTACAATTGAATTATTCACAGTGAGTTAAAAAGAAAATATTTCAGTTGCTTTTCTAGAACATTTCCATGTAGCGCCCCCTGTGTTTCACTCTGATCAGGGTTTTTTTTTTTGTTGTTTCTAATATTCTCTTAACACATACAGATATCAGGGCGGAAAAAAAAAAACTTTTTCCCTTTATTTTTTTTTCTTACAAAATCTTACAAAAACTATATTCATAGAAATTCTGCATGTCCACAAAGAAAACCCTGGTTTGCACCAACATATTTATTCGTATATTTGAGAGGTTTTCTGCCAAACCCACAAAAGCTAGTCAACTGAAGAGTATACGTGAGGAGGCGGAGGGGGCGGGACTTCCTGGAGAATCAAAACTCCACACACTGCTAATGGAACACAGGTTATGTGGCTAATATTTTTGCGTCACTTTTCGCTCACATTTCAAACAGTTTTGTATAAAATTACATTGTTATTCACATTGGGGTTTTTTTTATATAAAAGATATATATATATATATTTATATATGTATTTATATTCATTACCAAAGCTAATGAATCGGCCAAATTACAAACCCTGTGGTAATTTAACCAGATATTGATTTTGATAACATTTTTTTTTATTACTCTCATCATTATCATTTTTTTTTACATTACAGGACTGGAAGAAAAACAAGCAACATTTGTCCTTGAATCACCTGGATTAGAAGCAGTGCACAATAATCTGGATTAAGGACTTGATTATCAGCTCCAGACCAGGGGCCGTATTTACAAACATCTGCAGAAACAACAAATCCATTGATTTGCATTAGTGGAAATTCAAGGGCAACGTTTATCATTTATAAATAAAGAGATATATTTATATATATTAATATAAATCCAGTGAGTTAGAATTTTTAATTTTAATAACTTTAGTCATAAACTCTATAAATACAGCCCCAGGTCATAAATGTGTTTGAGTCAATGGTAGAAAATAATAAAATAAAACTCTACTCAGAGGGAGTTCATTCCATTGTTAAAATAAAGATAAAAATCAAATTTTTTTTACATCATTTTCTATCCTTCAGTTTTCCTTCAACTCATATTTTTACATTTCTGTTGAGTTCAGGGCGGGGGGGGGTTTGGGGGGGGTCAAAGTGATGAAATAAATACTTCTATCTATGACGTATATTTGACTGAATGTTACTCATTTATGACGGTTTAAAAAAAAAAAAAAAAAACAAAACCCCAAAATGGATCAAAATACATTTCCTGCTGCTGAACTCGTCTCTAGTTTCTACTGAGTCAGGAATCGACAAACACTCCGACGGTTGTTCTCTACCAAACCATCGCTAATTTTACAGATTGTAATTTCCTTGGATTAAAGTTTTTTTTTCTCTCTTTTTCTCCTTGTTTCAACCATGTGACGTTTGACCAGCGTTGGTTCAGGTGACGGCAGCTCAAAGAGTCTGATTCTTCATACGAACAAAGTCTATTTTCACACAAGAGACGTTTGAACCAATGACTTCATCTTCATCATCTTCATCACTTTTTAAAAAACAAGGAGAAAGAAAACGACCTTAAAAAAACAGTTCTGAATGAAGTCGTTGACTTTTAAACTTCTTTTGTGTGAAATTAAACCAATCATTTAGAAAGTATTTTTTATTGTGTCACATGATCCTGTTTGAACGACTTTGATTTAAAGTTCACGGTTCAAAAACCTCAACCTCAACAGGAACCGCCCTCAGTCACAGAGGAACCGATTCTCTCTGCTGACCCAGAGACCCCTGGTCACCGCGGCTGTCTGAGGTTCTGTCTGAGGTTCTGTTCACTCCATCTACACTCACACCAAACTGAAGCTAAAAATGTTATAAAAAAGGCTTTTACTTTTATTCACCTCTACTTTCACAAGACCTTATTCTGAAAGTCAAAAAGGAAACGGCCGAGACCCAACAACACGTCTCTGGGAATATTATTTTTCTGCTCTCCAGGGGTTTGTGTGTCGGCCGGGGGGGAGAGAGTGTGTGTGTGTGTGTGTTTGGGGGAAGTTAAACCTGTTAAAATCGTCTGGTGTGCTACAAAAACGGCTCGTCTCGTCCTTTAGTTCTTCACTTATTTATTGCCAAGTCTGAGAAGTTCTCTGTGGGTTCACCTTCCTGTTTCTCCTGTAAACGGCAGACGGACAGCTGATGTGTCGGTACCGTTTCTCCAGAACCGTTCTGAATCCCTCTCCACTCCTGTGGTCTTTTGTTTTTTTTTTCCCGTTTTTTTTTTTTTCCGGCCCACGTCGTCGTCGGAGAACGCCGTCATACCTGTGTGGCTGGCCCACGTTGTCGTTGTCGGAGAACGCCGTCATACCTGTGTGGCTGACGCTGCCATTTTGAGATGGCCGTGTTTGGTGAGTGTCCCCATGTCACTGTGGTTGATGGTGTATCTGCTGATGGCATCTATGCCGTTGTCCCTAGTCTCTGGCACGCCCCCCGACACGCTGCTCATGAGGCTCTTGCCGTGGGGGGGGTAGAGTGTCATGGGAAGACAGGGGTCATCCTGGTGCTGCAGCTCACGCTGTCCTTTCCTGGGAGTCGTCGGTCGTTGTAGGCATGCATGTTTATCACCGCATCCGTCTTCACCATGGCCGGGGGCGGAGGCCGGTGTTTTACCCGCCTCTCGCAGGTGAACGACAGTCTGATCTCGTCCACCATGGCACTGCACAAAGACCTCTGGGCACAAAGGGAGGACGCGGGGAGGAGGAGCAGACAGAGACGAGGGGGAGAGGGATGGGGGGGGTAAATGCCTTAGCTTTAAATTGTTCTGACAGCAGAGAGTGAGAGAGTCTGAAGAGCAGAAACGACGTTAGAACAGAACATTCAGTGTGTGTGTGTGTTCATGCTGGAGGGGGAACGAAGAAAAGTTTGTCTGAAAAGTTTTTGACTAACCCTTTGTCGCCACAAACGTTCGCTTTCCTTAAATTGAACTAAGTTGTTCAGTAAGTCAAATTAAATAAGTTGTAAGAGAAGTGGTTCCCACAGTGTGGGGCGCATCCTGTAGGGGGACGCAGTAAGAGAAAATAATTTTTCCAGTAACTTTCACCCATTTGTTTTGTTTTTGTCCAATGAAAACATCCGTTTTTAGGAATCTCAGTGATTCATCAGTTCAGGTCACAGAGAAACATGGAGGACACCAACTTTAAAAAAAAAAAAAAAAAACAGTGATTCATCAGTTTAGGTCACAGTGAAACATGGATGATGCCAACAACAACAAAAAAAGACTTCACTCTGCAAAAGTATTATGGGAAAAGGTCATCGTGGAGAATGTTCTGGAACATATTTGTTCCTGTTTTGGCTGCTACTGTTACAACAAACAGAATAAAGCAGTATTTGTAAAAATGATTTGTCATTTTTGTTTGAGTATTAAAGGATTTGTAATTATTATTATTATCATAGCGATCCAGTGCCAACGACCAGTTACTGAAGCGAAACGACACAGTCAAGCGTTCGGTCGGCGATTTATGGGGACACATACCTGCTCACGCTCCGCCGTCTTCCTCAATTTGTAGACGAATTCAGCAATCGCTACGAAAACAGACACCACCAGGCCAGAAGCCAGCACGATGAAAATACCACCCAGGTTCTGGATACCCATGGGCCCCGTCTCACGGTGCTCTTCAGCCAAACAGCTGCTCCCACTCCACCACTTCTCTTTCAGCATGTGTAGGCGCCCATCTTCCAAGATGTTGAGGATGGCGATGCTGATTTTGTCTCTGTAAGGGGAGCCTGAAAGCAACATAAGGCTCGCTTTATTCATGGGAAAAAAAAAAATAAAAAAAAAGAAAAAGCAGCAGCTGCAATCTGTGATTACAGGGTTTATAAATATGTGGTGGCATGAAGTCTGAAAAAAATAAATAAATAAAAGACATGTAAAAAAAGCTGTTGCTTTGTTCAAAGAGCACTAGCCAACCTCCTTCAATTAAAATGCAACACGTCTGTGATAAGAGGAGCTGATTTTTTTTTTAGTTTTTTTTTTTTAATCCTCTGCCTTTGACACATATTTAAAGGTTCATCACGTCTCACCGAGGGGGGTGCCGATGCCGTAGCCTTTGCTGTCGATGAGTCCTCCCACCTGTGTCAGATTACATTTTCTCCTTGTGATGTAGTCGATAGTGGTGGACTCCATAATGAGGGCGTAGTCCGACTTCAGTACTCGCTGTACGCCGTCCTCGATGGACTTCACCATCGACGTGCTGGGTTTGCTGCTCATGAAGGCCCACATCTTCTCGTAGGTGGAGATCTTTGATTTCTGCCAAAGGAGTCAAACGGGTGTCAGCAGGTAGAGACAGATGTGGACACTACACGTGTTAGAGGTGAGTTGGTGTTTTTCTTGTTTTGTTTTGTTGTTTGTTTGTTTTTTTGTTAAACCATTGGCAAAGTCTGCAATTGTCCGTCGGATCTTGTCCCTCCCAGTATCACCAGTAGGACCAACATGAACTACAGCAGCACAGACCTTCACTGTTCAGATAAGACCAGTAGAAGTAGAGAATTTATTCCTTTTAGGATTTTTAGACTATTTGTCAGTCCAGAGGTAAATGGTAGAGCTGTGTACGATACACATCGTGATACAGGGACAACAATACGTCATATTGTGATAAACTGTGATATTATAGGCGCAATTACATCGTGATACAGGGGCAACGATACGGCGTATTGCGATAAACTGTGATATTATAGGCGCAATTGTTGTTTTGACCACTCACACTACAGTGTTTGCCATCTACTACGTCTGGAATCAAACCCACAACCCTGTGGGTGCAAGAGAGCTCCACTATAACTGCGCTACACCAGACAAAGACACAAGGTACGAAGTACAACTGGTATTTGAATTTAATTCCACCACTATTTTGACAGATACAAGGAAAACGAACTGGTTTCTGAATTTAATTCCACCACTATTTTGACAGTAAAACACAAACAAACAAACAAAAAACTAAGATCACCAAGAGAAGGAGCCCATGTACCACCTGTGGTCCACGCACCACAGTTTGCGCACCACCCCTCCTCCTCCTCCTCTGGCAGTGTAATAGGATTAGAGCAGAGTGAATTGAAGCTTTGCACACATCTATTCCCATAAGTGCCACTGAGGCAGTAATAATGAAGTGCCTCTCCATTACACTGGGATCAGGCTATGTGGTATTTCATGCAATTTGAGAGGAGGTCACATTTATGCCATGTCTAATCCTGGATAATTACTATCTAAACACTTTAAGGCATTTCAAATTGTGAAAGATGCCGAGAGAAGATCACGACTATTTGTTTCTGTGCTACAGTTCAGCCATTTGTCTTCTCTCTCTTTTACTTTAGACGCGTTTTACCTTGTGAATAGTCAACAGTGTTGGTTTAGTCTTGGTAGCTAAAATAAATTAACAACATAATTCATGAATAATAATAATTCAGTTTATTTACTCGACTAAATGTAAATGGAATTTTGTCGACATTCTAATGACATCATTAATTTTACGGGTATATTTATTTAATACCTTACTATGTTGTTAATGGATGTAAACGATATTATATGTAATAGTGTTAAAATGTCGACAAGCAGCCGAATCGTTATCCCCTTATTTAGCTTAGCCAGATTAGCTCTTACCTCGACATGTCCGCAGGTAACGCAGCAAATTTGTCGTGTTTTTTTTTTTCTTTCACAACGTCGTTCCACGCGGTTTATACTGTGTGTTGTTTTCACCAACTGTTAAATTAAAATAGTTCCTTGAATCTGTTCTACCAGACACGTTACGGTTACGATATTCCACCACTGCGTTAATGCTTTAAACCTTAATATTCTACTACCGGACAAACATTAACTCTGATTGGATCTTACTATACACCTCCCGCCCTCCAGCCAACAAACATGGCTGTGATTGGCTGCAACTCTCAACAATTAAATAAATCAGCGCTGTTTGTACTTTTACGTCTCGTTTTATTAGTTGACAAATATGTCAATTAATCTCGTAGGTCCACATCACTTCCGGTTCAGTTTTCGCTCATTTCCGGTGATAATTCTACAATTTTTATGCCGGTGGTCGTCACAGCGGAAGTGATGCGTCATAATTTCACCACTGAATGTCAAGCGCAGCCGGTTTAACAAGTTATAAACGTAAAAAAAGCCTGAAAAAAGTGACAAAGCCGAAAGAAAAAGAAAAAGTAAAAAAAAACCCAAAACGTGCTCTTTCACCGGGGCTTGCCTTCAGACAGGTGCTTTTGTGTCGACGTCACAGCGCCACACGTCACACACACCCATCCAGGTGTTTTTATAGCAGACAGTGTGTTTTCACGCCGCCGTCAGGCTACACAGACACAAATACAGCCGGTGTTGGTGTAGCAGCACGGTGACAAAGGTTACAGGCCACATCCAGCTGCTCCCATGAATCTACAAAGGCCCTGACGTGCCCTCCAGGCTTCACACCATTCATCAGCCGTCTCCGCCGCCCTGAGTTGAAATCATGAAGACTTTTGTGTGAGAGCACTTAAGCCTGGCAGCTCTGATGAGCTAATTAGACACCTGTGTCTCCTTCTATTTATGATGGAGCAATCACAACGGTAATTTATCAGAGTTCACTGAATGATCTAAAATAACATCCGTTTGCCTGGATAATCACTCGAGGAGAGAGGCAGGATTTCTATTCAAAGGGTCAAACCCTTGATTTCGATGCCGGCTCCCTGTTCTCCCTGTTCTCCCTGTTCTCCCTCAGCCTGCATCTGCTATTCATGATGAGCATTTCAATAAGTGAGAGGTCTAACACTGGGGGTGAGGAAAAATTAAATAAATATAGTTCAAGTAAAAGAATGGTTTAGAGGTTTAGGATCACGAGAAGGTTAAGAGTTCCATTCCCCTCAACCCTAATGAGAAATATTGTGTCAGGAAGGCCATCGTACTGGTTGTAAAATTGAAAATCTGTTGTAAAAAATCTGTAATAAAAACTATTTTTAAGACTATTTTCATTGTATATATATACACTTAACATGTAAATATCGATTACTTGTTGACACCAAAGTGTGTTTCCATAGTGTAATGGTTATCATGCATGCCTTACACATCTGCCTTACACTGAGAAGGTCGGCGGTTCAAACCCCAGAGAAACCACTTAGGGATATATATGTATATATATACACATATATATATATATTGTGTTCTGTGTGGCAGTTCATACTGACTTTATTTGTGCCAACGCTGGGTTGCAGTACTTTTTTTTTTCTGTGTGGCCATATTTATGAGGGCAGTTTCCAGACAGGATTTTAGTTTGGGAACAGGAAGTGTTCTGTAGCTGCATCGGTGTAAAACGCAGAGATAAGAGTTATGGCGGTAGACTCTATCCTAGTACCCAGAGTATTACACCAGAATATTGTGTATCTCAATATAAAGGTGTAGTGTTTTTATTTTTCCCTCTAGAAAAAAAAGAAGAGTGCAGCTCTGTAAAATGTGTTATTCAGCACCAAAAACAGTAGCAGCTGCTTTATGTATTGCTCAAAATAATAAAATAATGTGTCAGAGCCTGCAGGCAGCGCTGAAACTTTGGAATAAAAAAATCATTACGGAGGAACACATCAAACGGTGTCGAGAAGTGGGAAAGATGAGTAATCTGCCTTTGCTGTGGGACCAAAGATCTCACTGAGGAGGAAAATAAAAAATACACACATATATGTTTATATATGTGTGTATGTTTATATATATAGATATATATATTTAGAGAGAGAGAGAGAAGAATCTATATATGTATTCATACTGTATATATATATATAAACACAGATGCACACATATGTAAATATATGTATATATGTATAATATATATACTCCCTTTTATATATATATATACAAATATATACATATATCACGAGAGGGAGATGGTGGAGTGTTTATCAGTACTACTTGTGTCATCAAAAGGGGCGGGGCTTAGACTGCTGCAGCTCTCACATGAACAGACAAACGAACACTGACCAACGTCGTTCTCGTTGGCTTTGAACCAACATACCGACAAATCAATCGGTTATCGTTAGAACCCGCTCCGTACCTTGAAGAAAGCCATGGTGGCGCCGTCCTTGACGACGCCGTACTCGATCTTGGTCTGCTTGGCGATGTCGTCCGCCGAGTCCACCGCCGAGTCCATTCTCGCCACGGTGAGAAACGCTGCCAAGTTAGCGGTGTACGAGGAAATGATGATCAGCGTGAAGAACCACCATATCCCACCGATGATCCTGGTGGACAGGGCTTTGGGCATCAGTTCTGAGCCTGCAGGGGGAGCAAGAGGGGAGGTGAATATTTAAATATTAAATATTTATTTAAAGAAAGAAATACGACGGTGAGTCGCTGTCCAAGGTACTGTCGGTGAGTTTTCTCAACTTTTTCAAGCCTCTTAAACAGAGTTTCTGTTTCCATCAGTCTGGTGTTCACACAGTTTTTCAGCAGTTCTCATAAATGCAGTAAAGTCCCCTGGTCTTTTTTTACTGTTTGTTTTGTCTGCATAATTAAAGAAATACTTCTTCCTTGTTGTTCTGCCTTTGTCAGCTGCAACAAATATGCGTTCTCCGTTCCAGACTGAGTAAAAATGAGCTTTCGGTGATTTTAGAAAACCACCAGAGTCTGTGGATTTATTTAATATCAACAGCAGCTTGTAACAAAAAACACCGGAGTTCAAGCCTAGTTTTCAGCCGCAGCTCGGAGCCGAGAGTGAAAATAAAACCAGCTAATGATGCCGTCAGCAGCACTGATGAGAGAGAGAGAGAGAGAGAGAGAGAGAGAGAGTGAAGGGCAGGTGTTCCACCGGCTCCATCTTCACCATCTGACCTGCTTTATCAGACATCAGACAGCAGTGATAAAGACAGCTGTTCATGCACTCTGCCAACCTCCTGAGTCACAGACACAGCGACAGCACATTAGTCCTGTGTTAATGGAAACGTGTGTCTGAATTAGACTGAACACAGAAGATACAGTATGTTGAAGAATTCAGACAAAAGACCAAACGTGACCGACATTTTGTTAGAGCGTCGACAAAAGCCTTAATATTCACTAAATAATTTCAAAACTAAATAACGCACATTTTTGTTAAGCATTTCTCAGTTCTTAAACTCCTAGCCTTACTTATGCTGTATTTACCTGTTTTTAAGAAACCACTAGGGGGCAGAGTTCATTTCCACGCCAATGTCATTTCAGTTGCTCTGTCAGTGTCCTATTCTTGCTGTTCCTTAGTGTGCTAAACTGCACAACACTGCCCCCACTGGTGGTCCAGTGGTCCTGCTCTGCATCATGTGTTGTGGTTCCCATCTGCTCTCCACTCCAAACCTGTAGGTGGCACTAATTCACCTAAAGCTGATTTGACTAGCAAACAGACTTTAGGTGCATTACTGCCACCTACTGGACAGGTGTGGGTGCATCTTTTGCATTGATCTTTCTGACTGAATCATGAGAATAAATTCTGAAACACTGTTAGATATAAATGTATATCTGCAGTTTAAATACTGCAGTTCCACTGGTACTCTGGGACAGAAGTTTCCTCTTGCTTCCGTACACCTTCATCTCGTCTGTGAAGACACGGACAGTCTGTATAAATAAATGTAGAGAGTTTGAAAAGGGGTGTCAGTGCAGAGTGACACGGCGGCTGTGAACCAGCCTTGACTTTGAGTGGTCCTCTGCTGAGTAACAGCGTGTTTACAATGGCTCACTGACTGGTGCTAAAGTTACTTTATATCTCATCTCTGACAACCTCTGAAATACCCTTGTGCTTTGTGCACCCGCTTACTTTGCTGGGAAGATTTATGAGGGCAATTCTGAAGAGTAACAAGCCCAGAGGAGAGGGTCAGAGTGGTCAGCTCTTTAACCCCTCCCACCAAATTTGATTGGATTTGTCCTCTGTGCTTTGACAAAGACCGCGCGGCTACAAATAAGGGATGACACCGGCGGCGTTGCTTAATTCGCTTTGACTACAGAAAGGGGAACAACCCCGTGTGTTCTGTGGGAAGGCGACAAACGGAGCGAAGCCATGGCTACGGCTAACGCAGCTCCTGTTAAACCGTTAGCTCCTCCTCCTGTTAAACGTCGTCTCAACAAATACACACTATGTGCATCATCTTGGTGTCAAAATATCTCAACAAATACTATGTGCATCATCTTGGTGTCAAAATAATAGCCAACCAAATAGGTCTGAGGTCGAAGGAATCGAACCCTAAACTATAATTTTGCTCACATAAAAATCAAAGCAGCATTAGCCGTTGTTAGCATGTTAGCTTCATACGGAATCAAATCTTATTAGCGATAAGGCAACTGCGCTAACCACATGAATCAAATCAACGCAATCGATATATATGCCATTAATTATATAGAATTTGAATGGAACATTGCCCCCTGGTGGAAATTGTATTTATCGCATGTCGACGATAAATTGCCAAAATGTAAATGTTTGCTAATATTGGAAGTTCCAGGAGTAGAAAATAAAATCAAACGGCGCTAAAACCTCCTGCTGTTGACTCCTAATTCTATTTCAATCTTTTAATTTGACAGATTTATTTGATAGATCGCGTTCCTAGTAGCATTAATATTCTTCAGCTCCGATCGACTTTAATACAACAGGACTTCCTGGTGAGGGCAGTGAATTGTATTGTATTTTAAAAGGCAGACTGTGTGACAGTGTAATGTAACTTAAACGGTTGAAGAAAACGCTTTGCATCTAATAACGCTTTTAAAATGTCAGCCTGTTGGGAGGAAAAAAACATTCCCAGTGGAAGCAGTGGATTTAGCCAGACATGATGGCCCTGTTTTCTCCGACTCTTTCTCCCTGTAACAATGCCTCAAAAACACAACATGAGAGGAGTGGGCTTCCCCTGAGAACTATTACCTGCACTTAGTATTTCCCCCTATAGAGCTATCACACATAAACTGCCTTCGGTTCCTGAGATTTAACTTTTTCTTTTCTTTCTTTCTTTCTTTCTTTTTTTTTTCAATCATAACACTCCAGAAAGGAAATGTTTATTCGACTGCCAGTAAATCCCTGTGTGACGATCACAAAGTGCCGCAGTCACAACTTTACTTTCTCGCCTATAAAAGAAAAAAAAAAAGAAAAAAGAAAAAAGAGCAACGTCTGAAAAAACCGTAGACGGAGGAGCTGAAGTGGACGGTTCCATTCAGTGAACGCTGGATCAAGTCACGGTAAAAACTAACAAACAAACAAACAAACACAGCTCTCACAGCAGTGACATGGAAGGGTGGGTCAAAACGTCCTCAGACGGATGTTCTGATTAACGACTAAAACCAGTTCAGACTGGACGACTTCGTCAAGTGTTGAGCGGCGTCATCTTTGATCCGATCAGAGAACAGTTTATAACAACAGTCCAAATGAAGAAGATCTTAAAACATATTCTCCAGGATGGAGATCATCGTCGTCGTGGTTTGGTCGAAAACTAACATCGGTGTCATCTGGGAGCATCGATTCTGTAGTATCGATGTACTGATACTCACAAGAGTACTGACTGACTGAGTATTTTTCAAGGTAAATTACTACATACAGACTTTTGTACAGTAACGTGAAACTGAAGCGATCCATTCATGTCACATGACCACTGACCGGAAGAGAACAGTGACCCCTTGTGGTCAAGTGCACCAGACGTCTTTGACCCTCAACGGTACCGATAAACTACTGAGGTTCCGTTCCATGAGAGTAAAGTCATTTGTTATGATTAATATGTAATAAAATATTCAAATTAAACTTGGTAAATGACCAGTATTTGTGTTATATTGGAGTAAAAAAAAAAACAAAAAAAACTCCGTATCAAATCGAATCAAAAATCCTATCCCCATCACTTCTCCACAATTCAGTCAGTCAGTTATAAACCCATTCTGAATCAAAAGTCCTATCCCCGTCACTTCTCCACAGTTCAGTCAGTCAGTTATAAACCCGTTCTGTTTGTTTGGATGTCCCTCCCCCTCCCCCGCCCCCCCAACATGCTGATTCCACTGCCGTCGCCCTCCGTCAGCAGCAGCAGCAGCAGCAAATTGGCGGAGCTGCTGCTGCTGCTGCTGCGGCCGAGCTCCTGACTTTAATGTATTGCTGAATGTGTTTGCTGTTCTTCCTGGCACAGATCCACTGCCGACTCCCGGAGAGCCTCCTCCATTTGTCTTGTTACGCTGAGGTTAAACATTTTATTACTGGGGTCCTGTTGCTTCCACATTCACTTCATTAGCTTCTTCATTTGCCTCCACGTCCCTGTGAGCAACAGCACGCAAACACAAGCCTCTTTGGTTCCTCAGGTTTTTTTGTTTGTTTGTTTAACCCTTTGTTATTGATGGACAGAACGGCGTCTGCAGCGTGAAAAAACCTCTGAAGGATTGATCAGAAATATATAACACTTGACCAAAACATCTACTTCAGATTTGTGTTATTGTTTTTCAGCATGAGTTCTGATGGGAACTGGAAAAAGAGGTGAAATCGTAAAATCGCGAGAAGAAAACGACGATCGAATTCTACAAAACATAAGCAGCCAAATTATATACTCAGATCAATGTATGTCTATAAATGCTAATTAGCCACATTTAAATATACATTTCTTGCTGTTACACCAGGTGTATCAAACCTGCGGCCCGCAGCCCCCACGACCATCCACCCACAAGGCTCCGCCTCCCACAGTGACTAACAAAAAAAACAAATAATCATACTGTGACCACAATAAAACTGGCCCCTCAGCACAGCGCCCCCTAGTGGTCGGCAGCGATGTTGACTGCACCTGACTCAGACGCAGTGTAACCAGTAGTAGTTGTTGTTGTTGTCGTGTCGACGACTTCTGTTGTGCGTACATTTGTGTATAAGTACAGTGTCAAACAGAAGTACTTCCTGCGTTACTAGATTCTGTTCAGGTGAAATAAATAAATAAATGTAGAGTTTGACACCGAGTCAGATGTTAACCTTCAACGACTGTCACAGCTCCGACTGTAGCTGCACAGACACAAACCCCGGAGTTAAAACTAACTCTAAAAGTACGTTTTTGTTTTTTATGTTTTTCCTATTTTTTTTCCTATGTTTGAGTATTTTTAATACAAATATATATATTTAAAACAATTTTTTTTAGATTTTTTGATTGCATTAAATTTTATTCAAATAATAATAATAGTAATTCTCAAAATATATATATTAAAATAATTCAAAATGATTGAACTTGAATTAATGTTCGACCTTAAAGTCGTACTCCTCAGATTCTGCTCCTGGACCTGAAGTCATAATTTAAATTATACAACACTCAGTGTAAAACTCGCCTCGGCCTCGAAGCTCCTCAACGCGGCCTGAGACTTTTTTTAAATTTTTTTTTTTGTCGAGAAGAAGTAAATGCTGCAGTGTTTTCCATCCACAGCTGCCAATCTGTTGACGAGTGCCTGGCACCGACTCGTCTCCGACTAAACAGCGGGGAGCTGACAGCAGCCTGCCTTTGTCATCAGCTCCGCGGAGCCCGGTGACAGGTAAATGTCTTATGAAACAGTGACGGAATGGAAATCATGGAGTCTAAGGAGGGCGTCAGGGCTTTAACTGATCATCAGATGTTTCCATCTCAGTCGTCAGGTCATTATTTTCACACTCTTTGACGAGAACGACAGACTTCATATCTGGTGATAGTGATTTGATGAAATTCTTTCTAAATCTAAATGTATATTCAGTGTCAGAGTTACTGTATTTCTGATTCATTTAAAGTTCATACACAACAATTTGACGTTCTGGAGGAATCGACGGTTCTCAACCTCAGGTTCAGGTTCCTTTGTTCCTAGAACCATTTATCTGCTGAACTTGAAACACCAGTCGTTTGGACTGGTTTACGATGGAAATATTCTGGTGGACTCATGGTACTACAGTACAGTGTGTACTAACAAACTGTACTTCATCTCGTGTCCTCTATATGGCTGTTTTTGTGACTTGGTTTGGAAGATATTAAAAATAAATATATAGATATATATATATTTTAATTTGAAGTCATTGACTTTTCTTCAAAAACTTGTAGATTTTCATTGTTTCATGTATAGAAAATGAAAGTTTTGCTGATATCCGATATTGTCAAAAAAACGTAATTTCCGATTCTGGTATATACAGTGGTGTCACAATAATTCACTTTCACTTCATTACTATTTTTCGGTCTCTTCATCCAGACGAAACCCACATTATCAGGTTTTCATTATCGGAAAAAAACCCTGATAACAATTCCTACTCATCGTAACATAATTGTGCTAATATCGGTCGATAATTTCGGTCGGCCGATATTATCGCGATAATATTGGACTTTACGCAATTTTGATTTGCTTTCTGGAGACTGGACGACCAGAGAAGATAACTACAGTACCGAGTATTTCAGTACGTACCATCAGCTCCAGTCAGATATTCAAATCAAGTCTATAAGTATTTGGACCTCAAGTGGTGAAAAAAGAGAGCGCGCTCAGTTTTTTTTTTTGTGGTTATGATGTCTTCTTCCATGTGGAGACATCGTAGCTACTCATCGTCGTAGTCGTCCATTGAAAAACAGATGCTATCATTTGAGAGGTTTTGTACTTACCCCCCCACACACCCCCCCCCCACACTCCCCCTGATGGGGGGTAGGGGGGTGGTTCCAACAACAAGGAGAAGAAAATTGAGCAGTGCAGCTGTACGCTCTCCAAAAGAACCTCCAATGAGAGGCAGCAGGAAACGCTGTCAATGGTCGTAACAGGATGTTCATCAAATTCATCGGACAAAAAAAAAAGACTTCATCTGAATTGTGTCGAAACACGGAGTTTCAAATTAGGTGAGTGTGTTTTGTTTTTTGGTGTTGATGTTGACGGAGACAAAAATATTCATTTAACTAAAACAAACTGAGCGCCATTTTTTTTACATAACAAAGACAACTGCGATATCTCATCATCATCATCATCATCATCACCATCATCATCATCATCATCATCATCACTCAGACGGTCGTATACTACTGAAGTACTACTTTATTCTGAGGCTCAGCTGTGTATGTGTATTCCTGTTTTAGCTACTTGTGGGGACATACAGTACTACAGTAGAAAAATACACTGTTAATCAGTACTAATTATCTTTGAGTGCGATGGTACTTTCAGGATTAGGACTAGTTTGTGTGTGTGTGTGTGTGTGATTCTGGTATAGCTGTACTTGTGGGGACAGTTTAAAAAAAAGTGTCCTTGTGGGGACAAGTCAGGACGAGAATTAGGGTAAAAATTAAGATTAGATTAGACTAAGATTAGTCTATGTGACGAGCTCACTAAACATAAAAACCAGTATATGTGTTTGTGTGCGTTCCTGTTGTAGCTACTTCTGGGGACCGTTTTGTAAAAATGCTACTGAAATATGAAATATTAAAATTCAACATTACAGCTGGAGTTTGGGTTAGCATTAGGCTAACATTAGTGTTCAAATTTAGATGGGGATATTTGTGATAGTTAAGACAAGACCCCACATAGACAGACCAGTATCTGTGTGTATATATGTGTGTATCCCCCCCCCCCCTACAGCTGGGTCGCAGCACGTCCATGCCCACAAATCTGCTTGATCACTACTTGGCAGCCAGTGGAGTTTGATAAACTGGCTGAAGTCCCCAAAACTCAGATTGCAGAGATGGAAGAGTAAATTATCACGTCTATTCAAGGGCCCCACAGATTAGTACACGGACGTGCGGCGGCGAGAATAGCAGATGAATTGTGCCCCCACCTGGCAATGACAAAGAGGACACAGCTAACGCCGAGGTAGGCCAGGAGGATGTAGACCCAGATGTCGGGCGTCATGGGGTTCAGGAAGGAGAAGAAGCCGCTGTTGGTGGTGTTTGGTTTGCGGTACAGGATGCTGATACCGGTGTTGAGGAAAGGCTTGGTGAAGTCGATCACCTTCTCACGCATGTAGGTGATGGTGAGAGGAGCCACGGCCAGATCAGCTCTCTGTGGAGAGGACACCAAAAAAATGTTATTATTACGAGTCAACCATTTCCAAATCGGTTGTTTCTTTTCCAGTTAGCCAAGCTAGCAGCAAGGTTTTTCAAAGGTGGGACGTCAAAATTAAGAACTATCGTAGCTAACGTTAGCTCTGGTGGCTGTACCAGGACTGATGTAGCTAACGTTAGCTCTGGTGGCTGTACCAGGACTGATGTAGCTAACGTTAGCTCTGGTGGCTGTACCAGGACTGATGTAGCTAACGTTAGCTCTAGTGTCTGTACCAGGATTGTTGTAGCTAACGTTAGCTCTAGTGTCTGTACCAGGATTGTTGTAGCTAACGTTAGCTCTAGTGTCTGTACCAGGATTGTGGTGGCTAACATTAGCTCTGGTGTCTGTCCCAGGATTGTTGTAGCTAACGTTAGCTCTGGTGTCTTTACCAGGACTGTTGTAGCTAAGGTTAGCTCTGGTGTCTGTACCAGAACTGTACAGTTTTTAAATCTAAACAAAATAAAACCGTGGGCAGTGGACATTCGTAGTCAGCCATGTTGCAGAAATTCAACTCCTTTAACCCAAATACTGCAGGATCAGGAAATCACTACTCATCCTGACGACTCCCTGCGACCCCCCCCCAACCCCCCCCCACACACACCACGTCTGGACAGGAGGTTAATGAGACCAGCTGCTCACTTCACGCTTGGATACTTTCCTTTTTTTTTGTCGGAGAAAAAGAGACAGCTCACGGAGGAAGGCTTTCTTTACTCCCTACATACTGAATAAGGCAGAGGAGCAGGACCTGTTCACACTGCTGCTGCCCCCCGCAGGTCACAACAAACTGTTTCTTAGCCTATGAAACTAAGCCAAACCAGAAGGTGTAAAACTACAGGGCGCGGAAATGTACCTGTCACCAGGGAAGTACTGGTACTTTATACAAACAGATAAGACTAACAGGTACTGTAGTGATACGTATATACAGTAAATACACAAATACTGACACATAAATACTTGGTTACTGGTTTTATAGATTTAAATAGTAATAGATTATAGCGTTTATTTTCAAAGTGTGAAACGTGCCTCCCATAGGGGGCACTAAAGCTTAACTTAAGGTTAACCAACTCGCTCAAATGAGAACGAATGATTGGCTCCACTACTGTTGTCATTGTTTCCACAGACGAATGACACAGAATTATTTTTGATCATTTTTATAACCAGAAACCTCAGATATCAACGCTTCCAAACCCGCGCTGTCTGACTGTAAAAAGTTCAAGCGTGAAACTCTAAATTCCTTCAAACAAATTTCAGACGAACTCCTCTCTCACTCCTGTGCCTGGAGGCCTTTCACAACAAACTCACTTTCCCTCCGGCTGATTGGTTGATAACCACCGTAAACAAAGATCAAAATAGGAAAATAAAGATGAAATCTAACTTTGTGTGTCGTTCACCGCGTGCACCTGTGGTCGGCACCGCGGCGTTCACACCTGGTAAACGGCTAAATCAGAGCGCACGGCGCCGCCTCTGCTCTTGGATCTGTTCAAATTTGCAAACATCACAAACGGCTCCCTCTGTTGTGGGCTGCCAGCCGCAGCTTTGAACCACCCTGCTTCTCAGCTGGACCGTCAGGAAGACCGACGAAAGACCGTCAGGAAGACCGACGAAAGACCGACCGTCCAGATGTTGGACCACGGACTCAAAAAGAACGCTGCTGATGCTGCTGCTGCTGCTGCTGATGCTGTCCTGTCATACACTCTTTTCCTACAGGCTTCTTTGTCTAAAGACTGAAATGCAGTTCCTTAAAAATGTTCTTCCAGTCGTTTCAACAACAGCAAAAAACAAATAAATCTGTCCTTCAGGTTTGGTTAAAAAATGTGACGTTTGCTCTGATCTGAAAATACTTTGTTTACTAGGGTGAAATAAATCAAAGGTCACAGCTGAACTGGACAAAGACATGGTGATAAAACTGGTCACAGCTGTTGGAGACACAGACACCAGTCTGAACTGACAAACATGTGGCCCGTGGGCCAAAACCGGCCCACTTGGGGTTTCAATCTGGCCCGCTTGTTGAAATTTGAAAATAATAACAATTCAGGAAATGTTTTTGTAAAATGATATTGTAAACAAGGAAGAAAAAGACAGTTTGTTATTTATATTTAATTATGTTATGCTAGTACTGGTCCGACCCACATTGACATCTAAACCAAATCTGAACCAAAACGTGTTTGACGCCTCTGGTTTAGAGAAAGAAAACCATCAACAAACTTCAGAATATTAAAATGAGAGAAAACTAAAAAAAAAAAACTCACATCAAATGAAGTAAAAAAAAAAAAACAAATAATGATGTAAAAAAAAAAAAAATCAATTAAAAATGAACTCAGAACCAGAGAGCTGAAACACTGACATGTTTGGGCTTCAATTATTTAATATATCTTTATATCTGATTAATGATCGCGGTCCTTTTCTCCTCATCCAGGAGAAAGACGGGAAAAAAAAAACAGTGGATTTTGATTCAGGACCAAACGTGGCCAACCATCTGTCTGTGTAAATCTCTGCAGGAGGATGCGCTCCTGCTATAACTTTTCCGTCGAAGCTAAGATAAATTGCCATGACAGAAACAAATGATGTGCTAAGCACGCTATTAACATTTGCATCACGGCATAATTAAAGTGATCGTCTATTGTTACTAAATCAAGTTTAACAAGGTCTGTTGCATCATTTAGCACCTTCCAAACAATGCCCTTTGGCAGAGCAGCAACCTTTGTGACTAACGGAGGCAGAGACAGAGACAGGGCCGCGTTTGTTACGCAACACTGAACCCCAGCGCCTGGCACCGACGCGGGTCCTCATTAAGGAACAGCAGCTTCAACGGGAAACAAAAAAAAAACGGCCGGTGGTATCATTCACACCTCATCATAAAGAAAAAAAACACGCAGGTTTGTTTCTGTGACGAAGGCTAACAGCTGCCGCTAACTGACGACGCTAACTGATGACGCTAACGTGGTTCTCCTCATCCCGGTGTCAGTCCAACCATGTTGAAAATGATTTCACGTCTTCACGGCGGAAATCATTTTTTTCATCGTATTGTTTTGAAACATTTTCCATACGTTGACTCTGCCGATTTTAGCAACGTGTGATAGAATGCTAGCGTTGCTTCAGAAGAAGGAGGAAAACCGAGCGATTGTGTAGATTTTAGTAAAACTGCCTTCTTGATTTTACTGTATTTTGCAAACATTTATATTTAACTACGATCACAGAAATGACTGGAACTTCAACCTGTTTATTTTAGTGAAAACAGGTTAAAAAATTACTGTAAATTTTTGATTTCTCACGTTAATACGGTAACGTCGCTTTTTAGCTCAACGGGACGCATATTTTTTTATTTTTTAGGAGAGTTTTCGATGTCACTGACAGACTTGTGGTCAAACTCCTGTACTGCATCTTCTTTACCACAAGTTCAATGAATGGAAAACAATAAATTCCTTCATTCTCAATGGGATTGTTGTTACCATATATGGTCACTTGGAGGCGCTTCTGACCTGTACCCTAGCCCTAACCAAGCACATGGTATTGACATAAAGATGTGATTCATCTTCACTCATTATTTACTCGTGTGCGTGATTTTTTTTTTTGGTCCTAATTTCATGCGTGCGACAGAATTTAGAACCTTTTCTACGCACGGTTTGATTAATGTGGCGTCTGGACGTGACAGCTAAAGGTTAGCTACAACAATCCTTGAACGGATGATATCCATCCATAATCCATCCTTCAGTCCGACCGATCTAATCATCTATGAAGTGCTTCACAAACTGAACCACCCTAAACTTGGAAACCGTTGGGTTTATAAATAAAAACTCTTCAAATCAACGTCTCACGGTCGACTGCTTTCAAACGTCCTCATTCTAATAATCTTTCAACCAAACAGAAAACACAAACACACACACACACACACACACTCTCTCTCTCTACATGTCAGAGCAGGTGCTCCACTTCTGAGGTGAGTGCAGACGTCCAGCTCACCACATGCTTCTCCTATAAATTCTTCAAAAACCCGTGCGTCGCCTCGACTCCCGGTCCTGGTTTTTTCTCCGTCTCCGTCAGAGATAATCAACGGCCTAATGAACACCTGCACTGCCTCGCTGTAAAACCAAAGAACAGACGAGTGTGTGTGTGTGTGTGTGTGTGTAACGACGGACCGGTGCGTCCCCGCTCCGTGCCAACGTCCTCCTCTGCCTCCACTGATCCATTTGTTCCCCCTCAGGGCCATTGTTATCAACATGGATCCGACAAAGAGCTGCGACGTCGGTGTAAAGTGCTGCCGTGGGAGCCCCCCTCCCCCCCCCCCCCCCCCCCCCCCCCACCCCCCACCCCCGTCCCATACCATCACTTGCACTAAATGCCACTTAAACTATTACAAGTTTTCAGCTGAGTGCAGTGCTGACCTGACGGGGGCCGAGGACAAAGAGAGGACATCGACGGGGGACACTCAGGAACGGCCGCAGGGAATTGGCAGCAATTGATTTAATGCAATCATTAATTCTGACTATTTTATATTTTATTTACATTTTTTTTAACTATATTAAATTTTTAAACATTTTATTATTAAAAAATATATTTTTTAATTTTTATTTATTTTTTAGTTAATTTCCTGTTAGCCAGCAGGGGTCGGCTGGTTTCCCTCCGGCCGACGATGGTTATTATTAAAAAATATATTTTTTAATTTTTATTTATTTTTTAGTTAATTTCCTGTTAGCCAGCAGGGGTCGGCTGGTTTCCCTCCGGACGACGATGGTTCGTCTCACTGTCCGACATCAACACAGTTGTCACATTTAGGCAACCTTGACATCACCGTGCTATAAATGTAACTGACAGCTTTGCAGTCTGTCACCGACTTGTGCTCAATCACAACAATATCACTGTCCACGCGGAGGACGTTCACAGGAAGTGGCTGGACGTGTGTCTCTGGGTTGAGATGATTGTTGTAAAATAACGAAAAGTATATAAAAAAAAAAGAAATAAATAAAAAAGGTCAAATGGTGAACACAGGTTTGGACGGTTTGAGGACGAGTCAAAAAGATCTAAGAACTGATATTAACTCAGGATTTCAAAATAAAAGCCCTGCAGCTTTAATTTTATACACATATTACGACGTAATCTGTGTCGTTGTTCCACATTATTTTGACTTTTATATTAACAATGGTCTCACGTTGGCTGGTCCCAGTGAGTCAGATGGTCAGATGTGGCCCACGGGCTGTACCACACCCAGATCTGGTCTAGAACAAATTAAATAAATTTAATAATAAAAATAACAAAACTATTTCTCTACATACAGTATCCTCTAATATGAGACACGGTTTAAGATGTTAATTTAATATATATAGAATTATTATATAATAATAAGCATTCAACTAATAATGGATCAAATTGCACACCAGTAACATTGATGCACACACTCCAGGCCAGGAGGTGGCAGTAATGCACCTGAACATCATCTGCGGGCCAGAAGAAGAACAACAGGATGCACTGAGTCACAAACTCAGAAAGTTTGATGAACAGAGATGAATTTTTTTTTCCAACAATCCAACTGCAGCTCTTGTAACGCACTTGAAAATGTGCCGCGCCAAAAACCTCCACTTGGCTCCGCCAACAACCATTTAAGGACTCCACGCATGTCCAAACTATTCCGTTCAGGAGGCAGACAGACAGAGAGACAGACAGAGAGAGGCCGACAGCAGGTGGCAGCACTCACGTGTTCGATGAGCTCCTTGATCATGCCGTTCCATTGGCCCTTGTCGTCCTGAAAGCCGTACTTTCCATCCGGAGCCAGATGGATCTCGTAGGTGAAGCCCAGGACGTTGGAGAGCTCTTTCAGCAAGTCGATGCAGAATCCCTCGAAGCGGTCGTTCCCGACCAGCGCCCTGTCAGACTTCTTAAGCATGACATATGGCTCCTCCTGCACAGATCCAAAGGAAGAAATGAAAAGCATGGGCGAGGTCAGCGTTTTCAATTTGTTTCAGCACATCCACCTAATTGAAGCAAAGTGATCGGAGCTGATGAACCGCTGTAGCCGCTAACAGGCAGTGACAGCAGAATCCAGCTCCGAGTGCGACTGCAGGCACTGTTCAAATATGAAAGGAGGCCGAGGTGAGAGTGAAGTCAGACCTTTGGAGTCCAACCACCGAAAAAACAGCAGAGCAGTTAGCAAGTAAGGTACCGTTTCTATAAGTCGCACTTTTTTTTATTCTTTGGGCTAACAGGCAGTGACAGCAGAATCCAGCTCCGAGTGCGACTGCAGGCACTGTTCAAATATGAAAGGAGGCCGAGGTGAGAGTGAAGTCAGACCTTTGGAGTCCAACCACCGAAAAAACAGCAGAGCAGTTAGCAAGTAAAGTACCGTTTCTATAAGTCACACTTTTTTTCATCCTTTGGCTAGGTTTGTGACTTATGCGACTTAGATGCGACTTATATATGTATAAAATTGTATAATTTCACTGACAGCCACTAGAGGGCACTCTAGGCTTGTGTACCAGTATCTGCTACTCCTGTACCACTGAAAATTTATTAGTTTATTTAGTTTGTTATTTTCAGCCTGACAACCACTAGAGGGCAGTGGTGCAAATTATACTCGACGTATAGACCGTAAATATATATACATATATAATTCATTTGCACATAATTTAATTAATCGCATATCGTCGATATATACATTGATAACAGTTATTTTCTATGATAATAAGACATACGCCATCATGTATTTTATTATTTATTGATAATATTCAGCAAACAGTGCAGTTGTGTACTCTACTGCCATCTACTTATCGCAGGTGGTACTACATTTTAATAGTTAATATTGTTTGTCGAAACACTTAGCTTCTTGTAGCATATTTTACAACACTGCTGTGCATCGACTTCAAATTAGCTCTGGGTTACGACGAGGTAGCTAGCGCTCTTTAGTGATCATTAATATCAATATGATCAAACTTTAACACGGCCCCAACGCTGCCACCGTCAGTTCACTGTCAGTATTACTCTGGGGCGTCGACCATTTCCTCCGAGCTGCTTATCCCGCCGTGCATTTCCAAACATGTCGCTCCACTTACGCAAAGTCTGCATTAGGATTTACTGCTTGTGCAGGAGGCAGACGTATGATTTACAAACGGGCCTCGGAAATGGAGTAATTGATTGGGGCGTGAAGGTGACTCTGTGCCTTTTCTCGTCTTAAACTGTGGAATCAAAGAGAAAATGAACCTTCAAAGCTCCATCGGTTCCTCTGGGAATTGTTTTATTAAAGAGACAAAGTGAGTGGAAGTGGCAGCAGCAACAATGACACGGCGCCGCGTCCTGTACACACCGACAAACGCTGTTCAATTTTATTCATTTATTTTGTTATTGAGCCTCAAAAAAAAAAAAAAAATCTGACAATAAATGTTTAGACTGAAAAAATTCTAATAATGAGTAGAAAGTAAAAAACCCGAAATATGATGTCAATGTTTTTGTAATTTCTGAATTAAAATTATTTAATTACATTATTTTTTATATCCATAATGTGCTGAACAAGACAGATTAAAATTATTTGCCTATTTTGTTCTTGTTGATTGAGGCTCTAAACGAGTCTGAAGAAATATTAAAAATATTGAATAATCTGGATTAATCCCGATTAATCATACTCACTAAGATTATTTGCGATTAATCAACAGCTGCGATCAGTGATCATCGGATTCTAAATTTGAATTATTTGAGTTATTTGACAACTCCCCCAACGCAACCATCCATCATCAACCTACCGGTGGCGCCCCCTAGTGTAGACCCAAACTAAATGATTCCAAAACAGATAACGAAACCAAACATCTGCGATTGTTCGTCATTAAGAAACTGGGTCTGGCGTCTTAAATCAGTAATAAGTACATAAATACTTAACGCCAGAGCAGTTACAGAGGAAATGCTCAGCAACTAACTTTGCTCAAGTTGCCCAATTAAGTTCATCAAAAGTTTGAACGTTAAAGTGAAAGAAAATTACCAGCTGTTTCCATCCTTCTGATTATTTCTATTCCCCAAAGTTTGAACTTGAATTTTATGTGTTTATACTCTCGGCTCCACGCTCGCAGGCGCAGCATGGGCGTGCGGAGGAGCAGAGAGGGGGGGGGGGGAGGGGATGGGGGGGGAGCGGCGGGGGACAGAGTTATCTCTATAAAACTGTCAGACGCCGCGTTCCTGCATCACTGGACTCAGTTTGATGCGGTGTCATTACGCCACGAGCAGAGATTGATCTTCGAGACCCAAAAGTCTCTTTAGCAACGCAGAAGAGCTGCACTTTTATTATCATCTCACACTAATAATTCCCGGTGAAAGAGCGAATCAAGGAAATTGTAATCTTTTCCAAAACTTCGACGACTCGACTCCAAACAGAGGAAGAGCTCAGCCTGTAATTTACTCCGCTCTGACGTTACTGCCTCGTCTTCGTGCACCACTTCGACTCCACGCCCATTAAATCCGTGTTCCGTGAACTCTGCTCAGAGACAGAGGGAGCAGAGAGGAAGAAGAACCGGCCGGGCGTTAATTACGTCCTGCTCTGACCTCACCTGTCATGAACGCGGCCCAAACACAGTAATGATGGTTTTTATTGTGTCAGGCTGTGTACACTCAGGACGAAAACAATGTAAATGACAACAGCCGAGGACATAATGAGACTCATCTGGTCTTAACCAGTTTCTAAAAGTTCTTCAAATATAAAACCAGTCACACAACACGTGATGTTCTCATCGTTTTCTGTTTGAGGCTTCAGTAAATAAAAGGATGAAGCTAAAAGATCGATGTGTTGTGATGCTAGCAGAGCGACAAACAATATCATTCTAAGATTGCTATATACAGTAGGGTGGAATAGTTACGGACATTTTTTCTTTATGAAGTATTTAAAGCAAACGTAGTGAAACAGAAAACACCCGTACAGCTAGCAGAGCTAACGTTAGCTACAACAGTCCTGGTACAGACACCAGAGCTAATGTTAGCTACAACAGTCCTGGTACAGACACCAGAGCTAAGGTTAGCTACCGCAGTCCTGGTACAGACACCAGAGCTAAGGTTAGCTACCGCAGTCCTGGTACAGACACCAGAGCTAAGGTTAGCTACCGCAGTCCTGGTACAGACACCAGAGCTAATGTTAGCTACAACAGTCCTGGTACAGACACCAGAGCTAAGGTTAGCTACCGCAGTCCTGGTACAGACACCAGAGCTAATGTTAGCTACAACAGTCCTGGTGTTAAATGTAAAAATACACCAGTTATATTAAAACATTAGAAAGCAGTCATTTGTGCGCCCCTAAATGGGCCCCGCCCCTCACTTTTGGAAAACTGCTTTAAAGCACTGCTTAAAAGTATAAAAGAAAAAAAAAGGAACTCTACTGAACTGATGATGTCACCTAATGCCAGCGACCCTATCAAACTGTCTCTGGGCGTACATCAGTCACGGGGAGACGAGTGTTTTAAAAATGGCTGTTTTACATCTTGACATCTTTAGTCATTTTCTGAAGTGACAGCTCCTTTTACTCCCTGTGGCAGCAGACAAAAGTAGGCCATCGCCGAGTTCTGTGAAAAGTGGAGCTGTCACAATCGCAGCTCGGCGGCTAATTAAGCTAACACGAGGTGTTTATAGTCCGTCTCGGCTTTTAGCTGACTTGTTGAAAAATAAGGAGCCCCCGCGAAATCGAGTTAGGTGCGAAATTTATGGATGCACACGTGAGATACAGTGTGCCACTTGAAAAAGGGCTGAAGCTGCACGTTTGAGGTAAAATTATTCACCTGTTGACGATGTAGCTAACAGTCACTGATATTAAGAGACGGCATTATTTCCACACAGCAGCGCGGGCTGTCAACGTGAAGCCATTTGCTGTGATACATTTAAGCTTTAGCAAGTCCAGTAAAGAGCACGGCAGAACCATTAATGTCAGCCCAAACGCTGAATTAGTGGCGTTGCCTACAGAACCTAGCGTTGTACAGCGGCTGTGGTGTAGTGAACACAGAGCAAATTTATGTTGGAGAAAAGACCAAAAAAAAAAAAAAATAAGTAGAAGATAAAATGCTCCTTTGACTTAAAGGATTGCCGGGCTACACCTCAGAATTCGATTCCCAGGCACTGGAGCAGAGAGAAAGGCTGGTTGGGGGAAGATTAGTTTAAATTAAGGTAAGAGGAAACACCTCAGCTGGGACGCCCGCCTTTGAATCTGTCTGCTAATTGCTAGTGTAACAGTGAGGAATATTCTCCCTGAGCCGCACTTACAACTTCACACACTTAAATACAACAACTTCCCATTTAACACACTTTTACACGTCTCTAAAACACGTACAGTATATGATAACGCAAACTTAAAAAACTGTGACCTTATAATTCACTGTCGTTTTAGCGTCTCTGATGAACTAGCGCTTGCTAGCGGCTGCTGCTGCAGTAGCTACGACTTTTTCCTACTGACTTCACTCCAGCGTGTAACCAAACTGCAACATCCAATCATGTTGCGTTAGCTCCACTTTTTTAGCACTGTATGCTAATGACTCTGCTGCAGTGCAGGAGTAGGACACCGGGGGCACTGTGAGACTGGAGGCTGTCTGCTCTGCTCAGCGCAGGAACCTCACTGTTTTTGTTGGTCGATTCCTCGACTTGGACTGTTTTTCTAAACTGATACATTTTAGCACGCGTTAGCCGTGTTCACATCAGGACGTTGAGGTACGTTAAGTTCACGGGACAATAGAATCGAGTTTGATTTTTGGCCGATTTGAAAAGCAGAAGACGTACCAGGATGGTGGTGATGACGAGCGAGCGATTCGCCAGGGAGTCGGTGATGTTCACGCCCTTTCGCTTCGGCATCTCCGTGATGTTAAGACCTCCTGACGCGCTCCACTTCCCCACCTGCGGGAGATAAAAAAAAAACAAAACATGTTTTTGGTCGAAGCAGCAGAAACACGTGGTTAAAAAAGAACAAATGTGAAGAACCAGAACTCATTCTCGACGTCAGTAACTGTCCAGCCAATCCTGAGAGGTTTTAACATATTTATCATTTAATTCATGCTCCCTGTCCTACAGCGCGGCCAAGGTCCTTCTCAGGGTCCGCGATCCAGATATTTTTTTTCAAAGAAAAGAATGATATTCTTCTTTATACTTCATGAAAATAATAAAGTCAATATATATATATCAAAATACCATGAAATTATTTTAATAATATTTTTAATGTTTTTATATATATATATATTTCAAAATAAAAGCATTTGTAGTAGAATAAAAAAAAAATTAGGGTCAGTGAAAGTTTGATGTTTTAAAAAAAAATGTTTTTGATGATTTTTTTTTTTTACCCCTGAA